TCCTGGAATTCTATTGGTTCCGATGTAGATCGAAAATGATCTTCAGCCCGGAATTTGGTCAATCGTCATAGGTTTCGTCAATCATCATAGGTTTCGTCAATCGTCATAGGTTTCGTCAATCGTCAATTCGTCATTTCAAATCAGCTTGACGAAAGGTTTCGTCATTCATCAATGACGAAAGTTTTGGCATTCGTCAGGCATCATTACTCATAACGATGAGATTTTCAGTAGCCATCGCTCCGTTACATTACGGTTCTTAAATTCCTATGTTTCTGATATTTTTTCTAATTAATTTCCACAGTAGATTAATTTTTGGTTTGATTAATTTTGCAAAGTAATACTGAATTGTTGGTGTCGATTGTACAATATTAGTTTAATTGTAAACTTAATAATGATTTATTTAATCAAATATAACAGAATATAAATAATCATTTGTTTAATTAAATATAATAATAGAATATAATAATAATGATTTATTTAATTAAATATAACAGAATATCATAACATTGCTAATTTAAATGCATAAGAATTAAAAAAAACTATTCAATAAAATTATAATTTTTCTTAAAATAAATAAATAGTAAAATAGAACATAAAATTAATTTTTACTTTTTTTTCCAATCAAAGCAGCAGCTTGAGACCATAAAATAGAAGCGTTTCTAATATTTTTTTCATCATACAATATTCTAAAATCAGCAGGTCTAAATGCATATTCCAAGATTTCATCAGGATTTATTTTACTATACGCCTCATTCAAAGGTAAAGTAGCGAACATTCCACTCAGGGGAAAAGGTTTAGGCATTAAAGTATTATTTAATAAATTTAATTTACCTAAGGAATTAAATATCTCAGTTGAATTACGAACAAAACCACCAGGAAATGAAGAATAAGATAATAAAGGATTGCTAAAAATCCCTCCAACTGCAACGGTAGTCACATTATTAAATTCAGCAGCATGTTCAGTGATATGGGCGCATGCAGAGCCACATAAACCATTAGTTAAAATAATGTAATCTTCAGGTTTCCAAGGAAGGGGATTTGCTAAGTTTTGTTTAATCAATTGACTAAGCTCATTAATTCCAATATCGCTTATAGTATATTTATTTGAATAATTCTCCACAACACCACCACGTGTATGAACATTATTACCAAAGAAGTCATCAGCACTTGTAAAATTGGCATGAGTATTTGCATTAACAAATCCTTTTATGTTGAAAATATTATTTGAAGTCGCAAGTCGAAATTGTTCAGTAACTGCAAGTTTCATTTGTTCAGTAATTCTCAGATCAAAGACAAAGGTAGGATAAGTATTAGGAAATAAGAGTAAATTGATAAATAGGACGACAAAGTATAGTCCACCCAAATTGTCAGATAAATCAAGAACAACCTTTAATGAATATATGTTAATAAATAAATTTAGATGAATAGATATACAATAAATGAATGTGCATAAAACGATTATTAATTACCTTTTTAACACCTGTATTTACTAACTCATTAAATCCTTGAAGTACGTTTACGAGAACAGCTGTATTAAATACGGTAGGATGTTCAGTAAATATTTTAACGATACCAAAGTCTTCTTGTTTAAAAAAGCCAATAAATTTATCAACAACTCTTATTATGGTAACACTTTGGTCTTGTTCTGTTAATTTTCTACTATTAGATCCATCGAAATTTTTGGTAATTTCTCGAAACATGAGACTGGATAATATTGGCCGTTTATTTTCTTTTGTAGGATTGCAAATATTGTCAAAATAAGTTTTGGAATCATTAAACTTATTTAAAACAGTACTAGTACTAAAAGCATTCCACTTTCTTTTAACAACAAATTCTTCAGTATTATTACATTTA